GCTCAGGTGTCTCCTGCTACTCCCTCACCCCTCGCTGTAACTGTGAACACACAGGTGTAGTCACTTCAGACTGAGCAGGGTATGATTCTGAGGTAAATCCTTCAGGAATGAGGGTCATCCCATCAGGTAAGCTACGGACACCTGCTGACCTGATAGCTGAGGGCGAGGGGAATTTCAATGCAGGGCGGAGTGGTTAGGATCCTTCAAGATCCTCGGCCATTGCGAGGGCTGTGGTTTATCTGCTCAGGAAGAAAGGACCCTGGAAACCTTGTAGGGGCTGCTTTCTGAACTTTCCTGGGTAGAGAAATAGATCTGTCTGGGACAGGGGGTGGGCCGTGGTGGTAATGAGCATGCACCTCCCGGGCCACCATCACTGGGAAGCATAAAGAAGCCAAGGGCCCAGGCGCACACAAATCCATTGCTATGTGTGTCCTGGGCTGCACTTCCTGCATGCAGCTCCCTGAGAGCAGCCGAGCGCTGCCAGGATCTAAGGCCAGCTCCTGGAAGACATCTGCAGGTGGCTGACTTTGGCTGGAGGACTCACTGACCCTTTCTTAGAGGACATGCAGCCTGGGACACATCCACTCCATCTCCTTTCCCTCTCCTCTCTCTTCCCTTCCCCAGTTTGCTTTCTGACGCGCCATCCCAGCCTGTCTTACCTCCCTTCCCATTTTTTCCTCACACAAGTGCTTTCCCTAATACAGTCCTTGCACATTTAATCGCAACTTGGCACCTGCTCAGTGGTGTGCTGGTAAAGGGACCCCCCACAAAACAAAAGCTCTCATTGGTAGCATTGGCTGATTTCCATGGTATAGGTGGCCCCACCATGGCAGACTTCTACTAATGGTTCTTGCAAAACTCCCAAGTAGTTTCTATGAGCTTGTACCAGTCACGCCAGCAACACTTCATGTGCCTCTGGGGGCTGAGAGACATGGAGGGGGGTGAACCCATGGAGGATCCTATGTGCTTCAGGTAGGGTGAGTCAAAATCTGGGGAAGGCAGAGGGTTCTGCTGATTGCCAGCCTTTGATCTCAGTAAGAGGGTATCTTCTCTGTGCTTGAAATGTCTCTTCGGTGTTTCAGACACTAGAAATCTGACATGCGTCCATCCTTAATCCACAGTTCTAGTCGCTTGTCTCTATCCTGTTCAATCCATGCATCAATCTGCCATCTGATTAGCCTTCCTAAAGCAGCACTCTGACCACGTAAATGCCTCTGCTAAAAAGCTCGAAGAGCTCCCTTTCCTAGGGAGACCTTTCTCTAAACATGTGGAATGCTTTTGGAGGATGTTAATAGGTGTCTTGAGAATCCCAGGGCAGCATAATCCAACAAGGTTAGGCAACACTAACTTAAGCAAAATGAGGCAGGTTTCTTTATGTCAGGACTTACCAATGTGAGCTAATGTGCACAGTAAATTGGCCATAGGGCTGTGCAGCCTTTCTCAAACCCGTTTGTCGATGGCTCCTTTCCCACCTTTTTTCAGAGCATCTCAAAGACCTAGTGTCCTGTGGAACACTACGGAAACAGTGGATGTGCTGACTTAGAGAATAAAATCCAAACTCCTTAGTCTAGCCTTCAAGGCTCGCCATTGTCTGGGTTTCAATGGCTGTCTGACCTTGTTTTCCTTCTCGAACCCTTTGTTCCAGGAAACTTAAACCACTCACTGTGCATACCCATGGATACTTCACTGCCTTTGATCCTTCATGTCCTTCCCCTGGTCTTTAATGTCCTTCTTCCTCTTCTTTATACACTGAAATTCATCTATTCTTTTAGGCATCTCAATGCCATCTTTTCTATAAAGTCTCATCTGAAACTACATGACTTTGAAAAAAAAATTGTGGTAAAACACACATAAAATTTACCATCTTAATCATTTTTTAAGTGTGTGGTTCAGGGGCATAAGTACATTCACAGTGTTGTATGATCATTACCCCATTCATTCCTAGAACCCTTCTGCAAAACTGAAACTCTGTTCCTACTGACTGTAACTTCCCACTCTTCTGTCCTCCCCACCCCTGACAACCCCCATTTTTCTTTCTCTGAATTTGACTAGGTGCTTTATATAAGTGGAATCATACAGTATTAATTTTTTGTGTGTGATTGGCTTAGTTGACTTCATATAGTTTACCCCACAGACAAATGCACAAAGGGCATAAAACTGGAAGGTCTCCAGAAGACTCCTGACCTGGGTCCCCAAGGTCAAGTGTTGTGGCTCCAACATCCTTCCACACTCATCTGGAGCTCAGTGGCCCTGTAGAATGGAGATGTTGAAGGAAGAATGGGGAATTGTTTCTTGGTGTTCCTGGTCCCAACTACTTTGGGAAGAAGACATCCACCCAGCGGACTGGTCTTTCTGTTTTCTTCTTCTACTCAAGGTTCATCCATGTTGTAACACTGACCAGAATTGATTTCCTTTAAGGTTGAATAATATTCCATTGTTGATACATAGCACATTTTGCTCATTCATTCATCGGCCAATGGACACTTGGGTTGCTTCAACCTTTTGGTGATTGCGAATAATGCCGCTGTAAACATGGGTGTGCAAATATCTGTCTGAGTCTCTGCTTTCAACTGTTTTAAGTATATACCTAGAAGTGGAGTTGCTGAGTCATACGGTAATTCTATGTTTAATTTTTCGAGGAGCCACCATCTTGACTTTCACAGCAGCTGCAACTTTTGACATTTCTGAACCCACACAACCTTTTACCAGCACACTCTGCATCAGTTATTAGTTATACTCCTCAGTATATTTTTAGCCATTTATACAAGTCTTCTCTTTCCTCTATTATAAGTCCCTAAAAGGTAAGGGGCATGTCACGTTTTTCTTTGCTTCTTCCCAGATGTCAAGATTAGTGCCTTCATGTGGTGCCCACTGATGTCCTGCCCCTTGATGCTGGGGCTCACCACTTGTGGGGGGATTGAATTTCTCTCCACACTGACATCTACTAACAGTATTCACTAAGAGTCACACACCTCCCAAAACACACTCATATCATAATCTTTCTACTCTTCATTTTGGTAAACACAGCCTCTACCAAAGGATAGCCAGGAAAGTTCAGATGATTCTTTGCACCAAGAATGTCCTCCCAATACACCAACATACCTAAAATGTTGGGTGAAGACGGTGCCTTTTTTAGTGTAAGCTACTCATGACATCAGAACAAACCCACCCCACAGACAAATTCTCAAAGGGTGTAAAACTGGAAGGCCTCCATCGGGCTCCTGACCTGGGCCTCCAAGGTCAGGTTTGGCAGCTCCTCCATCTTTCCATGCTCGCTCACCTGGAGCTCAGCGGCCCTGTTGAATGGAGATGTTGAAGGATGAATGGAGAATTGTGCCTCAGCATCCCTGGTCTCAACTCCTTTGGGAAGCAGGCTGGTCTTTCTATTTTCTTCTTCACGTTCCTCTTCCCATAGTTACTGTTCCTCTTTTCACGGGTTAACATTTAACTTGGAAACAATAATCAGCTCCTTAGAATTTTGAGCAAATGTTAATCACTAGCAGCAGTCTCCACCATCCACCTTTCACCTTCTCCCGAGGTGGGCAAGGCTAATTTAGCCTGTCAGTGGAGGTTTTGTCTGCTGTTAACCTCTTCACCTCTTTGTCTTTCCCAAGTTTGGTTGCTTTGGCAGGGTTTAATTGGATTAAGGTTCTTGTCTCAGAGACTTTCATATCTGGAACCTTTATTAGATGAGACGAGATCATGAAAAACAGAAAGTAGGGTGGGGGGTGGGTGCCAGTAATTCAACGCCTGGCCCACAGGGGAGAAATGGATCCAGAATTAGTGAATCTGGATCCAGTGGAGAATTAGATCCAGAATCAGTGGGGCACTGAGTTCCATGAGATACTATATACCCCTGAGTATTTCAGCTGGTTCAGATTGGGTTTCTGTTACTTGAAACCATAAGAATTCTGAATAATATGCTACAGGTCAAGATCAGGGATGTGCAGTACTTTGTTTTTAGTGAGTCATCAGATTTGGAATGGGAGCCTCCTGGAGGTTAAATGTAGCTCTCAGGAATTGGAGGCAGGCAAGATGTAGGAAGAGTTTCAGCAACCCAACCAAGGAGGGAGGTTTGAGGATTTAAGCAAATAAACTAGGTGGTGGGTAGGCACATGACAATCACTGGGCATGCAGGTGACCAGGGCACCACCCAGTGCAGGACTTAGGAGAGCAAGACCTTGTTCAGTGGGTGATGGGCTGCTGACTCTACCCCTTTTCTCAAAACTGCACTGGAGGCTGGGTGTGGTGGCTCTTACCTACAATCCCAGGACTTTGGGAGGCCAAGGCAGGAGGACTGCTTGAACCCAGGAGTTCCAGACCAGCCTGGGGAACATAGCAACACCCTGTCTCTACTAAACATAAAAAATAAAATAAAATTAGTCAGGCATGGTGGCATGCCCCTGTAGTCCCAGCTACCACAGAGGCTGAGGTGGGAGGATCACTTGAGCCCAGGAGATCGAGGCTGCAGTAAACCATGATTGTGACAATGCACTCCAGCCTGGGTGACAGAGAGAGACCTTGTCTCAAAAAAAGTACACACAAAAACTGCCTTGGAATTTGCCAGAGTAATGATTGTCAAGACAATAGTAGCAGCAGCAACAACAACAACAACACAAGCAAACAACCCAATTAAAACCTGGGCAAAGGACTTGGACATTGTTTCAGAGAAGATACACAAACGGCCAAGAAGCACGTGAAAAGATGCTCGGTACCACTAATCACTGGGGAAATGGAAGTCAAACCACAATAAGATACCACCTACACCCTTTAAGGATGGCTACTATAAACACACACACATACACACACACACACACACACACAGCACATACACAATAACAAGGCTTGGCAAGGATATGGAGAAACTGGAACACTTGTACACTATTGGTGGGAATACGGAATGGTGTAGCTACCGTGGAAAGCAATACGGTCGGTCTGCAAAAAATTAAAAATAGAATTACAGGGCATGGTGGCTCACACCTGCAATCCCAGCACTTTGGGAGGCTGAGGCTAGCGGATCACTTGAGGTCAGGTGTTTGAGACCGGCCTGGCTGACATGGGGAAACCCTATCTCTACTAAAAATACAAAAACTAACTGGGCATTGTAGTGGGCTCCTATAATCCTGCCCACTCAGGAGGCTGAGGCAGGAGAATCGCTTGAACTCGGGAGGCAGAGGTTGCAGTGAGTTGAGATTGTGCCGCTGTACTCCTGCCTCGGTGACATAGTGAAACTCCATCTCAAAAAAAAAAAAAAAAAGAATCACCATATGATCCAGCAATTCCACCTGCAATCTAGCCCCAAGCTTTCCTTCTGCTGTACAATTGTCATTGTACCTATGCCTAATTCTGCAAACCTTCTTCATATCTGGGATTGAGTGGATGGTAATCTTACCACCTAGGGTGTTCCCTTCACCCCAGATCCTACCTGCCTCTTGAAGATTCCCCAGCCCTCTCATTGGAAAACATGTCTCTTTCATTTGAACTCTCCCAACATTTTGACTATAAAACTGCTCATATTTGCTTTGTCCTAATTGCTAATGCATCTGTCTTCTGTACTGGACGGTGTGATTGCTGAGGGCAGGAAGGGCTTGTCTTATTTATCCATAAATTCCTCCTAGCTGACACTGGTGATTGAAAGGCAGCACAATTTCAATAAAGAGTGGTTGAACAACATGAATATAGGGGAGGATGAGAAGACTGGTTATTAATGGAATGAGAAATTAGCACAGAATTAAATTTAGGAACATGTACCACACCCATGTCTATTTTCTCCCCATTTGGCTTGTGAATAGGAACAGCTCTCAGTTGCTCATGTGACCATGCTTGTCTTATTATTTCTTCTGCACAGATGTTCTGGGTTATTGTTTTGAAGAATAATCCTCCATGAAGCCCTGTTATCCCTGCTCCTTATACACACATGAATGGCAAGACAATCCTGGAGACCCTGAAGGACTTCCTAGAATCCCAGAGGGGAAGGTCAGGAAGATGTTCCTGGAAAATGGTCCCTTTACTGACTGAAATTTTACCCTGGATGGGTGCGGTGGCTCATGCCTGTAATCCCAGCACTTTGGGGGGCCAAGGGAGGAGGATCAGATGAGCCCAGGGATTTGAGACCAGCCTGGGCAAGATAATAATACCCCCTCTCTACAAAAAATTGACCAGGGGTGATGGTGCATGCCTGCAGCCCCAGCTACGGCTGAGGCATGAGGATTCCGTGAGCCGAGGAGTACAAGGTTGCAATGAACTGTGATTGTGCCATTGTACGCCGGCCTGAGCAACAGAATGAGACCCTGTCTCAAAAAATAAATAAAATTGTGCCTTGCTATGGTCTGAATGTTTGTGTCCCCCACCATTCATATGTTGAAATCCTAACTCCTTGCAGTGATGGTGTTAGGAGGGGGAGCCTTTGAGGGGTGATGAAGTCCTGAAGATAGAGCCCTCATGAATAGGGCTAGTGCCTTAATAAAATAGGCCCCAGATGCAGTGGCTCATGCCTGTAATCCTAGCACTTTGGGAGGCCAAGGTGGGTGGATTACGAAGTCAGGAGATAGAGACCATCCTGGCTAACGTGGTGAAACACCGTCTCTACTAAAAATACAAAAAATTAGCCAGATGTAGTGGCACGTGCCTGTAGCCTCAGCTACTCAGGAGGCTGAGGCAGGAAAATCGCTTGAACCCAGGAGGCTGCAGTGAGCTAAGATCCTGCCACTGCACTCCAGCCTGGGCAACAGAGAGAGACTCCTTTCTCCAGAAAAAAAAAAAAAAGGCCCCAGAGAGCTCTTTTGTCCCTTCTGCCATGTGAGGACAGTGAGAAGGTGCCATCTATGAAGAAGGGAGTGAGCCCTATCAGACACCAAATCTGCCGGCACCTTGATCTTGGACTTCCCAGCTTCCAGAATTATAAGAAACTTATTTCTCTTATTTTATTTTATTTCTGAGACAGGGGTCTCACTCTGCAGCCCAGGCTAAAGAGCAGTGGCATAATCATGGCTCACTGCAGCCTTGACCTCCTGGGGTTAAGCAATCCTCCCACCTCAGCCCCCTGAGTAACTGGGATCATTGGCATGCATCACCACACCTGGCTAATTTTTTAATTTTCTTTTTTTTTTTGGTTGTGACGGGATCTCTCCATGTTGCCCTGGCTGGTCTCAAACTCCTGGGTTCAAGTGAACCTCCCACATCAGCTTCCCAAAGTCCTGGGATTACAAGTATGAGGTCAGCACTCCATTGTTGATAAGCCCCCCAGTTTGTGGTCTTTTGCTATAGTACCCAGAGTGGACTAAGACATATTCCAAAGAGGGCCTGGACATGTTGAGCCTGGACTCATGATTTCATGGGCCATGCACAGAATGAATGACAGGCCTGGCCTCAGATTTGGGGTCTGAAGAAAGAGAAGGAGTTGCTCCTTGTGCCTAGGAGGGATGGGGCCCTCAAGGTAATGGCAGTGAGCATTTGCTGAGCACTTACTATGTGCCAGGTTGTATGCTCCACCTGCACTGTGTGGCAGATACTAACTTTGTGGCTACTGATTACTTGAAATATGCTCAGGCCCAGGCATGGTAGCTCATGCCTGTAATCCCAGCACTGCGGGAGGCCAAAATGGGCGGATCACTGGAGGTCAGGAGTTTGAGCCCAGCCTGGCCAACATGGCGAAACCCCATCTCTACTAAAAATACAAAAATTAGCCAGACATGGTGGTGCAAGCCTGTAATTCCAGCTACTTGGGAGGCTGTGGCATGAGAATCACTTGAACCCAGGAGATGGAGGTTGCAGTGAGTGGAGATTATGCCACTGCACTCCAGCCTGGGT